CACGCGCCTGGCCTGGCCACCGGGCTGCTCCTTTCCGCTTCTGCTTCTGACTGCATGCAAGGAAAGCAGCCGAAGTCTTTCTTTCTCTCCCCCAAACACCGCCAGAAATGAGTCTTTGGGGACCCCGCAAGGCCTCCTGCTCCAAGAGGCTGCACTGGCAAAGACTCGTTTCTGGTGGAGTTTGGGGGAAGGAAAGAAAGACTTCTGCAGCTTCTGCTGCTTTCCTTGCATGGAACCAAAAGTCTCTCCTTTCTCTCTCTCTCTCCCCCTGAGAACGAAGCTGGGGATGGTATCCTGCAATCCCAAACAAAGAATGATCAATCAGAAGGAAAATGGGGTGGGGAATTATCCTGCAAACTTTTTTGGGGGGATTTTCCCAGGGTCTCTGGTCCGCGGGATTTAAAATGATGAGTTCGGTGGTCCCTGAGGTCCAAAAGGTTGGCGACCGCTGGACTAAGGGGTGACATGAGAGCAGCGTTCCAATATTTGAAAGGCTGCCCCAAAAGAACAGAGAGGCCGAGCCAACCCAAGTGCCAGAAGGGAGGAGAAGAAGCAACGGATGGAAACTCATGAAGGAGAGAAGCAACGCAGAATTTAGGACGCATTTCCTGACCGTGAGAACAATAATTCCAGGGGTGTCAAACTCAAGGATTAGATCTGGCCCTGGGGGTGGAGGGGGCACCCTGGAAACAGCGAAGGATTGGCCCGATCTGTCTCTGCCACTAAAAACAGTGCTTGGTAGAGCCATGCGTGGCCCTCCCGAGCTACATTTTCGGCCACGACGGCCACTTGCAGCACTCTGCCAGCAAAAAAAGAGCTGGGGTGTGTGTGTGTTTGTGTGCGGCCGTCTCGAGTTCTGTTTCCACTGGCAGAGGGCTAGCAAAACAAACTAAATGTCAGGGCTCCGACAAATCCACCCTCATTCAAATCGTAAGTCTCTAGCCGCATCTCTCAAGAGTATTAAAAAAAAAATTGATTTATTAGGAGCGGCCATGTCGGGCGTTAGCTGAGTGCAGCCGACACTAAAATACACCATTCATTTCCCCCTTGACCCTGGTCTTCCCTCCACCCCCTGGATGTGTATTCTCCAATGGGACACATCCATAGCCAAGAGTCCTCAAACATGCTCTCCAGTAATATTCCTGCACGCCGACAACTTTGGGCTGCCAAGGCGATTATCTAAGGCATTTAAGGAATGCACTGCTTTCCCCCACTCCCTTTCTGCTGGCAACTAAAAAGACCAAAGGAGGTTGTTTTTTTTTTAGTTGACACTAAAAACAAAACAAAAGGGAGAAGTGTTTCCCCCTGTTGCATTTGAGCGGGCAAGAAGGGACAGGAAAGGAGAAAGGGAAAGATAAAGAAAAGAGGGGAAGAGAGCACGGGAGGAAAAAGAAGGAAAGAGGGGAAGGAAGAAGGAAGGAAGGAAGGAAGGAAGGGAAAGGAAGGAAGGAAGGAAGGAAGGAAGGAAGGAAGGAAGGAAGGAAGGAAGAAAAGAAGAAAGAAAGAAAGAAAGAAAGGGGGGAAAAGAATCAGAAAGAGAGAAAGGAAGGAAGGAAGGAAGAAAGGGGA